GAGGCTGTAATGTGGTACAGGGTTGGCTGTAGGCAGGGTTTTCTTTTATGTAATTTTATTAAAACAAAAAGTGATACAACCCTTGCTTTCTCATACCTACACTCTTTACATTATAAGAATATACAGTGTGTTCAATTAAGTCGACACCATATGGGAATTTTTATTTTTAGTTTTATGAAAAAAAGTTATTCTTGCATGATAAAAAGTTCTGCATGGCCTAAAACCCAAAATGAAGCAATCAGATTTCAATTTTTTGCAGTCGTATACGAGGTTTGTCGAAAAATGTAAATTTTGCTCAAGAGTAAAGTACCTTTATTTTATACAATCTACAATCGTTATTAAGAAAAGTTGATCCTAATAGAAAACTACTGTCAGATATCCAATATCCATCTACCATTAAGAACAATAATTTTTGGGTATAAACATAGTAGGAAGTAAACAAATAAATTATAATTTAATTTTGCAAGTCATAAAACATTTATTGTATTGAATTCATTGGTTTGTTGGTGCATCTTAGATTTAATGCCGATCTCTAGACGTTTATCAGTGCTAACTAATACAGAGAAGAGTTTGTAAAGATAACAAAATCTGTTTTTTAATGCATTTTGGAAAAATATTGAAGAGGAAAAAAAGTTTTAAAATTGAATTTTGCACAATATACTGTAAGTTAAAAATGTTAAAAATAATTGATGAAGAAAAGGGAAAATAAATAAGTTTTTTGGATAATTTTTTAAAAATATTTTAATTGCTCCGAGGACATTCTAATTTTGGTAAAAGAAACTTTAGAGTATAACAAAACAACACACCAAGTTTCATTAAAATCGGCTATATAGTTTTCGCAAAATATATTTTTTTAAATTTTGATAAAAAATTTTCGAATTTTCAAAATGTTGCGCAGCCTCAAATAAAGCATCTAGATACTTGATACTTTTTCACATAGAAAAGACGGCTAAACTTTTCAAATGGTTTTTGAAAAATTGAAATCGGTTGATTAGGACGACCACAGTAAATTTTTAAAGTTAACACTCTTTTTTTTAATTTTTAAACAATTATCAATTTGCAATTTAATTTTTTTCAAAAATTATAATTTTAAAGTAGTCGGAAAGACGCTTCTTTAAAAAAAAAACGTTTATTGGTTCTCGAGATATAAGCGGTCAAAGTTTATCGGCATTTACCGTTAATTTATAAACAATTTAGCAATAATCTTTGATCCAGTGGCTTCGTTTTCCTAAGTTCTAAGCTGGAAAAAAATTTCATATTCATAAATTATCGGCAACACAGATAAACCAAAGGAAAAGCTGTCGCTCGCACGCGCGAAAAGTGACTCAAAACACGAAAAGTGGTGGAGGGGGCTTTCGTTCCGAGACTGAATTCGGAGGTTCAAAATGCGAAGGTACGAAAAAAATAGCATTATCTCGGCTTCTAATGGACCAATTTCGATCTTTTTTTAAATCCGATGTCTCGCGAGCCAAGGAATTCGAATACGAAAACAGATCCGCCCTGGTCTATTGTCACCACAAAGTTTCCGATGATTACAAATAGAAAGATTGCATTTCACATCACTTAATTTTTATAATCGGTACAAAACACATTTTCCTTAAATGCAATATTATTAATTCCACTGCTGTTTTACTTTAAAAACATTTCAACAAAAATGTTACCTACTTTCTACAAAACCGCAAACACCCTTGAAATTTTAAATCTTGGTTGTTAACTCTGTTTACATTTTTTGTACCACATTTTATAATTTACCATAGATACATCTTGTAATTTTTAGCTTCAATTGCAAGCTCCAACTTTAATTCAACATTTTAGTAATGTCTTAGTTATTTCAAAAGAAATAAAACTGATTCATACATTAGTTGAACGAAGTAATCATTAAAATTTTAAATTTTATTGTAGTAACTATTCCTTGCTTTACCCTAAACTATTTATTAGCCGACTATTTTTATATTTTTTATTAAATTTTGCTGACTAATATTTTTTATTCACGCAATGCTTGCAACGCGGGTGTAACTATTAATATTGTAACATTGCATGCCTAGCTCATTTTTTATTATTTCTGTAATATGGGTCATGGTCTTTTCATAAAACTTTCTGATCGTAAATAATAACTCTAATTTGTTTATGACTTCTTATGACATACGTGAATAATTACTTATTTTCTAGAGATAGGTATATCGCGTAAATATTTTCAGACCTCGAGTTTCAGCTGAAGTGCTGACCTGTTTATTATCTCCCACTGATTTTTGGATTATAATTACATGCTGAAAGTAACACAAACAGCCTGTCGTATATTTTAATGTCAAAGTATTCAGTAACCTTAATTTTGACTAATTACTTGCAAAATATTGCTACTGAAGTCTATTTCGGTTTAAAAAAAGAAATATGCAACTTTATTTATCAATAGCACTTGTAAATACGTATTCATATTTCTGTACTTATAAAATGCACCTATATCGTAACTCCTACCATAATAAAGATCTTTAAAAATGGTTTTATTACAAGTCTAATAATGGTTCCAACAAATACCTACTTAATTAATTTATTACACTACAGGGTGTTTCTTAAGTAGAAGTCAAAAATCCAGGGGCGTATTGCAAAAATAAGGGTTTTTTTGTTACGTAAATGTGGGATCTTAGGACAGCCATTGTCCAGCTACAGCGTGTCAAAAATTAAATAAATCAGTTTTTAATTTTTAATTTCTAAACCGCTTGAGGTAATTTAACCAATTTCGGTATTCGTATTTAATATGACAGTAGGTATTAAACAAAAAATTACCAGCTTTAGGAACTTACCAATGGCGGAGGTGTGGGGTGTGGGTATCATTAATACAAATAAAATTGGTCATCATATGTGCCATTGTATTATCTTCACTTTTTGTTTCTTTAACTTTTTTCTATTCCAAATCGATTAACAACAAAATTGATTTATTTGATCAAGTGCATTTTTACAGTTACTTAAAATACTTAGACATATCTTATGGAGGCCATGCAAAACAAGAATAATAAGAAGCCGTCATCTTGTTTAATATTGTGTATTGTCAAATTAAGCTTATTTTTTAAAAAGATTATGTTTTAATAATGGCTTATACATATTGAAATGCTAAAATGGCTATTATATGGTTTACATTTATGGTCTTGTATATGGAAATAGAACGTAGACTAGGCGAATTTATATACCTATACCTATGAAATGATTTCCAAATCATCCGAATCCAAGAATATTCAGAAATGTTTTTCAACGTCTTTCGGACTCGGGCTCATTTCAGAAAGGTCCAATTCCTAAAAGACCTTTGATATTAAAATGCCTGTGTTGGAAGAAGCTATCCTACACGAAATTGAAGAAAACCCAAATATTAGTACTAATAGAAAAATCGGTGCAAATCTTAATGTGAATCATAAATTAGTTTGGTCCGTTCTGAAACATCAACAGTTATATCCGTATCAAATACAAAGGGTGCAAGCCTTACTGTCGCAAGACTATCCTGCTCACCTACAATTTTGCCAGTGGATTTTGCAAAAAATTTTAACAAAATGTTGACTTTACCGATGGCATATTGTTTACCGACGAAGCTAATTTTTCCAGAGATGCTATAATGAACTTCCACAATAAACACATTTGATCTGATGAAAACCCTTATGCCATAATGGAACCTCGATTTCAACATCAGTTTTCTTTGAATGTATGGGTGGGTATTATTGGAAATTTTCTTGTTGGGCCAAGAACTTTAACCGGTGCCTCCTACAGACATTTTCATGAAAACGTTTTACCTGAACTACTTGACGATGTTCCCTATGCGCTATGGAAAAGAATTTGGTTTATGGACGACGGGGCTTCCCCACATTTTAGTTTGACTGCTCGTGAATTTTTAAATGAAAGATTCGGCAATAACATGGTTGGACGAGGCACTCAAGAACCTTGGCCACCCAGATCACCCGATATGAACCCTATTGATTTTTTTGTTTGGGGACATCTGAAGACATTAGTTACGTCAACAAATTATAGCCGATTGTGATGTGATAATTTTTTTTTAATTTTTGATCACAGAATACGCCTCTGAATTTTTATCCTCTACTTAAGAAACACCCTGTATATATAACGTGCAGACGCTAAATACAATACATAAATGCACAGTAGTATTCATTTATGTTCACGTATTCTGAATAGTACATCACCTAAAAATCTGTAGAAGTATTTATTATTGATACTGAAAGGGTATTTATGATACTACGATTTTAGAATTTTTATAAATCTAACATGAAAAACGTTCTCAGACATTTTTTATTATAACATAAATTTGAGTACATAGCAGCAATAATGCATAACCACTGGTTTAATTAACACTACTTTACATTATTATTTTACATCTAGCAACACGGAGACAGGGTAGCAGATACTGTACAAAAAGCAGTTTATAAATCCGTTTTTGACACAGTATGATATGCAACCAGTAAATCAGCTCTAGCGGATAAATAAGTATTGAGTGACATATACTCATACGTTTACGGATTATAAGTTATGCAACCACACTTACAAGTTGGAGTATATTTAGTTGCACGATAACAGGAATAAGAATTTTTACAAAATTTATTTCTTTTAAATTATAATTCCCAGTATTATATGATTCATACATCCAAGCCTTCTTTTGTTCTGACCCCGTTCTGAATTATTTATGAGTATGTGTTTAATATATGCTATAAATCAGAAGTCTGACACGAAAGAACAATAATTATCGAGTATGTAATCCTCCTACTCAGAAATGATCTGTACTTTCTGTTCTGCTTTATTAAAATAACTAAAATTCATATGTCTGCTGAGAAGTAATTCGATATTCAACGGATACATAAGAAATAAATGCGAAACGCTTTTCTAGGATTATAAAAAATAAATATGTTTTTTATTAAAATAGTCTTTTTTTCCATCGTACATAATTTAAACAACATTTTATATATTTGTAATATATAAACTTAAAAAACTTAAGGTAAGGAAATGTTAAAATTAAAATACTGAATAAAGAGGAAGGATTAAACAGCAAAAATATAAGTTAAAAAGCCCAACGAGATAAGGTAACTTAGACAAGTCAAACAATGAAAAAAAAAAATTAGAGAAGCTGTACAGGTCGAGAAATTAGGTAACAAAATATAAAAATCATAAATTATTAAATTATAATACAAATTATAAGTTATTTTTTGGAAAGACTTAGGGGTAACACGACAATAACTCAACTACATATTAAAGCTAAGTTTCAGTTCATTCTGTTCTGATGCGGTCGCTTTCCATCACAATCCTGGTCGACTCCCAAACCTGAGTCCGAATGCTCATGGTGTATCCTAAAATTTGGGAAATTTTCCTGGATGGAACTGCTATAACCACCCAGGTGGCTCCCGCCATAGTAACCAGACGGTTGTAACGGCTCTGGTAAGCCAAGTATGGAATTACTATTACTGTCATGATGATCAGGGTATGAAAAATTAGAATATGTATCGTTCAACAAACCGTGATGGTTGTAGCTAGGGTTTTTGTCGTTGTAATGATGCGAATGGTGTGAGTATGAGGAAAGCGTGCTTGTACGACTCTTATCGTCGCTTTTTGTTGAATTTGAGTGTTTTAATTTAACATGCTTGGAATAGTTCGTTTGGACAACTGTATACGGTATTTCTTTAAGTTGTAAATCACTCAATCCAGTAGTCTCTACGAGGTCAAACTCCAAATGCTTCTTGAACTCATTCGATAGCCAGGGTTTGGAGTCCCCTGGTGATCGTGATCGTGACCTGTGCTTTCTATGTTTGTTTCTCCTTCCCGTGCTGTTGTAGTCTCCAGGTTCAGGCTTCCTTTCGTTGTTTTTCCTACTACTGATCACATTAGCTTGTTGGATACTATTCGAGTTACTGTCTCTGGAGATGTTCTTTTGCACTTCTTGCCATTGCAGTCCGGAATCAACTAATTCGTAATAATTATCGGATTTGGATCGACTAGATCTTCGTTCTGTAGACTTAGAATCGTATTCTGAACCGGAATCTTTCCGGCTTCTCGATTTTCTCTTCCTGTGCTTCCTCCTGGACCTCGAAGAACTTTTCGACAGCTCACTTTCATTATCCGAGGTCCTGCTTCTGTGTTTTCTCTTTTTACAATTTCTCGAATCGTTAGAACTCTGACTGTCCACGGAAGAGGACCTATATCTACCTGATCTAACGGAGCGAGGACTAGGAGGTGCAGAACTGTTATTGTATAAGCCTTTGGAGAGGGGTTGAGACCAAGGAGCACTTCTCGTACTATGTGGGGAATCGAATTTTTTGGTATTAGAGATACTAGTTAACGTATTCGTATTATATACACTTTCAAAATTGTCCGCAGGTAAGGGGAGAGATATATGCTTCACTTCTTGGGCGTAAGGTGATTTCACGGGGTCATTCACTACAGGGGGCTCGTTGTTTGTGAGGTTAAGTCTCCTCGAGTACTTTCTCGATGGTTTACGGGAAAACGTAGGGGGTTGTCTTAGCTTCATCTGAGCATCTCTAACGGCTTGTTTTTCCGTACGACCACTATATCTAAAACGTGAGCCGAGCGCGAAAATGTCAGGGGACGTGGGGGTTACTTGTACTAATCTAAAGAAAGCGTGGTGTTCGACACAGCATTTCCACAGATGTTTACATGCGGACTTCGATGGAGTTTCGAAACCATATGTGCACTCGTCATTGTTCTTGTCAGTCACTCGCAGCATGAAGTACCTGCCTTTGAAGTATATTTTAGTAATTCTAGGCCAGTAGTAGTTTCCAACGGTGTTTTTATTGCGTAACACTATTATACCACTTGGTGTCAGTCCTAGGAAGTACTCCACGTGATCTTCACCCAACACGGGGTGTAGATCCACTCCGTAGTTTTCCAACCACTTAACTTTGTCCAAGTAATTCATTTCCGCTTGAGACGGTAATTGTCCGATCAAGGTTTGGTGTAGTTCAGCCATACGCATCTCCAGTTCCACGCTCTGATTTGGTAAGAAGCGGAATTCCGATACATATCCGGGACTGTGCCTCCTGGGGTCGTAGTCTCCTAGTTCCGATTGTAAAATATAAGCACCTAACTCTGATGCTAGCTCGAAGGGAACCAACAGACGTCCTTGCAAGATATCCTGCTTGATTTGCAAAAAAAATTGGTACCTAGTGATCTCTTCCAACAGTTTACAAGGGTCGGCTGCGTAGAACTTAACACCGAAATACAGCGTGTAGGGATCGGGTCCTTTGATTTGCTTGTTTAATTTTTTCGTGGGGTCCAACCAATGCGTCTGCCCATTTTGATCGAGGTACCGCAGTCCAAAATAAGCTGTCTCCAAGAGGTTAAGGTGGCGAAAGACTACGTCCAGCAAAGCTTGCCCCGTACTGTTATTCTGTATCTCGTGAACTAACTCAGTCTCATCCAGGAACACAATTTTGCAGTGTACAGAGTATACTTTGGAACAGAAACACTCCATTTTAAATCAATTTCCTTTGGAAATTAATAAAAGAATGCTGCGCGGACCTAAAAAGAGAATTTTATAAGTAAATAGGTCGCGAGTTTAATTCGGCGAACAAACTTACATTTACAAGTTCATAATCACAATTATGATTAGCCTTGTATATTGGACTTAGAGGAAGGGCAATCACCTCTTGAAGTTCACTAGTGGTTCACTGCACACTGCATACTGAAGAGCTATTTTGACCACGAATAGCCAATGATGGCTTGCATTGTCTTAGCATTCCCTTTCCACCGTGTCTTGAGCCATGCCATGTTCCACAGGTGATACCCATGCTCATAGACGAGCTTTTGTTGCACACCTCGCCGAGAACAGGACGGAGACTGTTATGAATGCCCGTTTTTACGTTCGATTTACATCTGAAAGAGTCAACACTGACCACCGGGCAATAAATTTTATTTATCCGTGAAAAAGGGACTCATTAGTAACGCAAATTTATGTTACGATTGCCGTTCTGTTGAGGCGGTCGTCCGCGAGCTGCCAGGCTTATACGAGGTGTTCAAAAAGGCATTGTGCGGCAGTTTTGTAATGTGGTCGAATAAATTACACGACTGAAATGGCGAAATGGGTGTCCGCCCACGCGTCTTTTTTCACCGCGGATCCAGTGGCGGCAGACGGGGAGAATGATTAAAATAACGTTTAAAAAAAATTTAAATGTAACTACAGAACAATATAATAATTCGCACTGCCTACAAAGCTTCGTTTATAAGAAATGTGGTTAGTTTTTTGAAAAATAAAGCTATATTCTATACTACATGTTGTTTTCCTTAGATCATTTTAGTTCAAAATGACACGAGTGTTCAAATTATTGAATTTTAAGATATGTACCTACTGTATGCTAATGTTTAAAAAAATGGCATAACATTTACTGGAAATGCGTATCTGAAAGCTAATCACCCAGAAAATTACAGAAAACAATTCATTTGTCAACTAGTGACGAATATACACACTACAAATCAGGACGCACATAGAACCATAGTTGCCGACAGTAATCTTTTTGCGCACGTCCCCAATCTACTTGTTCAAAACATGGAGATAAGGGTTGCAAATGGTGAATCTGTGCTGACATGAAGAAATACCGTCATAAATGATTTTTAATAACTACCTAATTGTCGAAGAAAAGTCGAAAGAATGTTGGACACTAATATTAATAATTTTATTTCAATCGTGATAAATAAAAAATAAAAATGCTTTTTGTAAATAAGGAAATTAAAATTTATGAATATAACAAATAAAAAATTAATTTGATAAATTACAGTATTAATAAAACAAAACAAAATTTATTTATTTGATAATATAATACATGTAAACGCAAATTGGCTGAAAATCTACCAGTTTCCTTTTTCTTGGGCTAATGAAAGCATATATATTTACCGATATTGGTACATAATTAGTAGTCTTTCGATCTCAAATGAAGAATCAAGAGATTGGCAGTATATACCAGGTTCTGTCGCTGACGCAGCAAATCGGCGTTGAAATATTTGAAAAATTTGTTCCCATATTTATTTAGCCATACCTATATATAGGTCTGGTCGCCCAGTTGAAGAATGAGTGCGTGTGCAAACGCAGCACAAACACGGTCGCACTGGGCGACTTGGCCATAAATTCAGTTATCGACATGTGGCCTAGCAGCGCAGTACAGCAATGTGGAATTTGGTGTGATTCAGGTAATTTTAATTTGTTATAGGCACCTTCTATTAATATAATCATTGATATTACAATTGCGAAAGGCAGAAATAAGAGGGATTTTATTTACTAATATTATTACAACATAGCATTTTGGAGACATTTTGAAACCGAACAAAACGAAATTTACCATGATCGAATATAATAAAATTGTTTGAGGACATAAATAATTAAAATATGTTGTTTGTCAAATGAACATACGAGTATAATAGAAATTTTCTACATATTGTAAACAAATTATTATATTTTTTTACTTTTAGCAGAAAACTTTTTTAGGGACGCCTATGAAACTCATTAAATTTTATTGCTAGGCGTTTTTATACATGTTCATCTAACTTTGGAAAGACTATACTACAATATCCAGCATTCATACTATAAAAAAGTTGGTTCTAATGATTTTTCTTTATATTGGTTTTCTGAGAAATTACTCAAAATGCGGTTTTGGTCAATCAACGAACAAACAGTGGCGGTTGGTGCTCTGGGGCAGTGCCACCCCCCCCCCCCTCTTAAAAATTTTCATAGTAAAAAAATGTATCACAAAATGTATGTTATAATGTTATCTAGATTATTAAACAGATTAGCCTTATGAAACACATCAAAGGAAGGAAATAATGTTAAATTTGTAATGTGCAGTCAATTTTAACTCGACTTGCAACATTCTTTGAAAAAAAAATCTGAATACATGAGTTCTTAGTAGCTCGACCCTAAATCTGTAGTGTTTATAGCGGTGGTCATGGTTACCCTCGCGCAGCAGAGAAAAATGGAGTGAAAAACTAGAATTTCGACGACACTGTATTTTGGAATTGGGTAAATGCCTAACTCTATTTCTAAGCAAAAAAAAGATTTTAATTTTCTTCTTAGATAAACAAAACATTTTTAAGTATGTAATTATTTTGTCGATTTAAAGAAACAGTTGAATAAATCTAAAAATAACTAAAACTATTCGTGTCACAGAAAAAACCATTATTTGAAATATAATTTTTAAGCTCAATGTAATAACAAAAATCCAAAAAATACATTGTCGTAAACATTTTAAATTTTTTGGAAAACAGTGGGGATGGGTCAAAGTTCAAAATATTTCTTTTGTAAATAAATGTCTTCGGAACAAATATTTCCTAAATATATATTTTTTATGAAATATCCTATCCAATTCCCAAAATATTCAGTGGCGTCCATTCTGGAGTTTTAAGGATATTGTCTTCCAGTACCTTCGTCACTTTATATACAGGGTGTTCCAACGAAAAGGGCGAATTTGAAATATTAGAAAAACTATCGACTTTTCAACATTCTAAATATAGAAAACCGGAAGTATTGGGATTTTATTAATAAACCCCAAAATAAAAATTAGTGGACTGTAATCAAATAAAAGAAAAGATATGTCGAATAAACTCAAAGGTCTAGACGTCTTTACCCTTGTACAATGGTACTTAAATTTAATAGAAAAGAGAGTGATTTATTAAATTGTTGTTTGTTAGGGGAAAAATATTGGTTATGTCTTGTGTGTCACATGCGTGCACATATAAGCGCAATATTTTTATATTAACTCTCAAAAGTCATACTAGTGGGAATTCGCTCCATCTTTTTTGGCTAGGGTTGCCCCACCATAGCTGGCCCCAATCTGGCTGAAAAGTCCGATCCGTGCGAATTCGCACTAGTGTGACTTTAGCGTAATAATCTAGAAATAAAGTGGATTGAAATGCAAATATCTGACTTTTTTCACCTCACTTTTTTTATTCATTTTGTAATAATTTTTCACATTTTTTTCATTAAAAATTTAATTAATTGTAACAGGTATTTATCAATATTTATGGATAATAATGTTTAAATTTATATATTTTTATACAAAAGAGTGCAAAATAAACATCAAGTTACAGAAAAGGAGCCAAAAATCACAACTTCAAAATAATATCATTTTATCAATATGGAGCATTTTTTCTTAAAAATATACATATACTGAATTTCAAAATCCTTTTTTTACTTCTTCTCTAGCCATTATTTATTTTTAAAAATTACGAATTTGTCAGTTTTCAAAAAATATTTTTTTTCAATCGCATTTTTTATTAACAAATTAATTTTTGTAAACTACAGTGTAACCTCCATTATCCAAACATGCCTTTATCCGAATATCCACTTAACCGAATGGAAAAAAACGCAAGACATTATCCGAACGAGCCTCGTTTATCCGAACTGGGTGGCCGCGGAGCTCGGGTGATATGCGAAATTTGCTGCCGCGTTTGCGTGTGCGACTGGGTTTTTGTCTCGCCCGGCCCAATCGGTGGGACAGGAAGATGTGATAAATTTAATGACTGACAATGACATCTTGCACAATTCAGAGAATGTGGAAATAGCCGAAGAAGAAAATAAGACCGAAGGAGCTGCCGACAACAAAATAACTCATGGAGAAGCCGTGCAATGTTTTNTACCAATATGGGGTATTTTTTCTTAAAAATATATACTGAATTTCAAAATCCTTTTTTACTTTTTCTCTAGCCATTATTTATTTTTAAAAATTACGAATTTGTCAGTTTTCAAAAAATATTTTTTTTCAATCGCATTTTTTATTAACAAATTAATTTTTTTAAAACTAATTATATCACTCGATTTCTCGGAAAATTTTACCCCATTTTTGATATAAATACGTTGTTTTCGTTAACAAATAAAGGACACATAAAATTTCAAAGTTGGCAAAATCCTAATTCGCACTAGTGTGACCTTTAAGGCGACCCATCCCAACTGTGACCTTTCAGGGTTAATTAAACCAAGAAATTTATGAATTATCGTCTACAGTAAGTTTTGTATTTCGAAACAATTTTTTTTAGTTATAACTTATAACAGCAAGTAACAAAAAGGGTCAAGTGCGCCAATGAATGTGGACCGCTAAAATAGCATATTTGGGTACCCGCAATCTACCAATTGAGTTACCGACTAGAGTCGTTTGTAAATTTGTCAAATACTTAACTGGGTACTACTTGTCACAATGCCTCATTTAAATGAACATTTTTATTTAAAATTATAATGCATATTTCATAAGTTCATTTCAGATTAATTTTATGTCACAGCACAACTCGAAGCTTTTCTTACCCATTAAATTCCTGGATTATGTTTGGATAGTGGGTATTCTCGCAAGTGTCATAAAACTGCCATAAAAATATCGTTAACCGTAGTATTAATTCAATGATTTTGTCATTGAATCGATAATTACAAAATATATATTACTCGAAAGGTAAGCTAAATAAAATTATACACAACGCTATAATATGATGTAATAATAATTGCATAAGTTTCTGTAAAAGTGCTTGGAAAGTGATTTTGTCAATTGATTGATTTGATCAATGTCACCAATCCCTTTAAATTTTAAGATTTCTATTTACGAAAAGGTTTTTTTAAGTATGACGCCAGTTAGAAAACTGAAAATGTTCCATTTGAAACGCAAAACGTAGACGGCGTTGGGGACTTCAACTTTTCAGACCGCTGTTCTATTGTCTCGGTAGATTCACAGCCGCCTATGATCGTGTACGTTTTAGTGTAAATTATATTGGGAAAGAGAGAAAGAGTGATATAATTTTTTAATGTATTACTGCTACAAGGTTACTTACTAATATGGCTAC